TGATACTTCACCATTGAACCTTTGACGCTTATGTGACGCTTCTTCAGCGAGTGTTTATATATTATTTCTTCAATTTTTTATTTGTTTACTTTTTTATACTGGAGTAATTAAATTGTATCACAGGTCAGAATTTTCATCTCAATTTTTTTCAAAACTTTCAGGAGATCTCAACCAATAATTTAAGCCATGAAATTAAAAAATAGATCCAGCCTTTTGCTCCCAGTCTCTAAATCCCACCAAAACACCTTAACTTCTCCTCCTAAACCAACTACTTCCTCCCCTACAGTATCCTTTAATATTAATCCACTTATCTCTGTTCAACAAAGCCGATACCTAGCACTCCACCTGATGCACATCTAACTTCGAATCCACATGGATTCATGTCGTTTCCCAAGACTTGTTAAATTGTTAATGATAAAATATATAATGATCAAAGCAATTACAAAAAAAATGTATAAATCATTAATACATTCCATTCTCTGTGCAGAGTGTTGCAATATACAAATGTCGCAAGATTTAAAGATAGAAATCATAAACATTTTATAGTTTTTGATTATTTTACTTTTGTTAATTTTTTATTTTCTGTATATATGGTACAAATGTGTTCACAAATCACTATCATTGTTGTCCACTTGACAGAATGTTATATTTCTAAATGAATAAATAAAAAAATTAGAAAATTTTTTTAAAAAAGGTCCTTGGACCCTGCAAACAAATTTACTGGAGAATATAAGCAAATAATTAGCTTGAATGTGTTACATTGTAGCTTATAATTTCAATTTTGAAGAATTGTATGTATAATAAGAGAGGGCAAAAATATAAAATTATATTCCTGCAAGACTGCATACTAGGATTACTATGAAATATGTACCGTAAATAAAAAAAAATTAAAAAAAACAACAGAAACTGGTGAAGGTTGTGTTCAAATGTTTAATATATATTTAATCATATTAAAAAAATACATATGTGTACACTTTTGAATGTATACCCTTTAAATTTAACTGGAACTAACATTTTTTTTTTTCGCTCGAGGTAAACGTAATAAATAATGAGCAACAAATAGTATGTGTTTGATGATTTTTTTTTTTTTAGTTGTACAATATGTATAATAAGCTTATTTTTATAATCGTAGAACTGCTCATATTTGGAAAAAGCCTTGCTGTACTCGGAATTAATGGACTAGGTACATTTATTATTAGTTAATAAGAATCTTTCATAAATCACTATCATTGTTGTCCACTTGACAGAATGTTATATTTCTAAATGAATAAATAAAAAAAATAAGAAAATTTTTTTAAAAAAGGTCCTTGGACCCTGCAAACAAATTTACTGGAGAATACAAGCTAATAATTAACTTGAATGTGTTAGATTGCAATTTATAATTTCAATTTTGAAGATGTGTCATTTTAATAAGAGAGGGTATAAATATAAAATTATATTCTTGTAAAACTGCAGACCAGGAACACTTTGAAAAATATATATATTGAATTTTAAAAAATACAGAAACTTATGCAGTTTGTGTGCTGAAAAATTGAATAATTAGAAAGAAGTAGTCAGAAAATCATCAGCAATACAATTAATAATAATTAATATAATTGCAATCATATTAAAAAATATATAAGTGTACACATTTGAATGTAAACCCATTTAAATTTAACTTAAATAAACTTTTTTTCACTCAAGTTGAACATAGTAAATAATGAGCAACAGATCATATCTGTTTGGTAAATTTTTTTTTTTTAACTGTCCAATATGTCTTGTAAGCTTATTTCTATAATGATATGCTGCTCATATTTGGAAAAAGCCTCGCTGTTTTAGTAATTAATCAACTAGTTACATTTTTTTTTAGTAAAAACAATCATTGCACTATGTTGATGATTTCAGGTTTTAAGACAACTTCACAACATTCCGAGACTAGTACAAATGGAAAAAATTAGTCACATAACAAATATTATCAATTTGCACTGAGGGAAATAAAAATGTAAATCTTTAAAGCTCTTCCTTTCCCTACCTTTGATCCACCAATGACAGATGGTGTTTCTACGCCCATTGATATGGAGCTGATACTTTGAAATTGAATTGAATGAACTAGTTAGGAGGATTATGTAAGAAGCACATGTGCCAGATGTACACCAGCTATCAGCTTTGGAGATTCGTGGGCAAATGTATATATTGTATATAGTTATGATTGTGTTTAGAAGTTTTTATATTATTTTATTTTATTTTATTTTTTTTTTTTTTATTATTTTTTTTTTATTTACCTTCTTCATCAGTATTATTTATTTACTTATTATATTTATATTTATTTCTTTATTATTTGTATATATTGTATGAATTAGAACTTTTAGCCCTAATGCTTATAGCCCTCCAGCAGTGGCTGATTGTATTATTATTCAATAAATAGATTTCAAAAAAAAATGAAAGCTCTACCTTTCCCTACCTTTGATCCACCAATGACAGATGGTGTTTCTACTCCCTTTGGTATGGAGCTGATACTTTGAAATTGAATTGAATCAACTAGGTAGGGGGAGAATGTGGTAAGCACAGTGCCAGATGAACACCAGCTAACAGGTTCAATTGTCTGTATGTGAATGGGATCAGATGGGTTCTAGTAAAAAAAATTAATCAGAGGAATCTGTTAAATTGTTAAAGATTATATATATATTGATCGTATCATTATCAATAATAATTAGCTTGAATGTGTTACATTGCAGCTTATAATTTCAATTTTGAAGAATTGTATGTATAATAAGAGAGGGCAAAAATATAATATTATATTCCTGCAAGACTGCATACTAGGATTACTATGAAATATGTACCGTAAATAAAAAAAAATTTAAAAAAACAACAGAAACTGGTGAAGGTTGTGTTCAAATGTTTAATATATATTTAATCATATTAAAAAAATAAATAAGTGTACACTTTTGAATGTATGCCCTTCAAATTTAACTGGAATAAACATTTTTTTTTTTCACTAGAGGTAAACATAATAAATATTGAGCAACAGATAATATTTGTTTGGTGATTTTTTTTAGTTTAACTGTGCAGTATGTCTTGTAAGCTTATTTTTATAATGATATGCTGCTCATATTTGGAAAAAGCCTCGCTGTTTTAGTAATTAATCGACTAGGTACATTTATTTTTAGTAAAAACAATCATTGCACTATGTTGATGATTTCAGGTTTTGAGACAACTTCACAATGTTCCGAGACTAGTACAAATGGCAAAAATTAGTCACATAACAAATATTATCAATTCGCACTGAGGGAAATAAAAATGTAAATCTTCAAAGCTCTTCCTTTCCCTAACTTTGATCCACCAATGACAGATGGCGTTTCTACGCCCTTTGATATGGAGCTGATACTTTGAAATTGAATTGAATGAACTAGTTAGGGGGATTATGTGGGAAGCACATGTGCCAGATGTACACCAGCTATCAGGTTCAGTTGATTGATAATTAGCTTGAATGTGTTACATTGCAATTTATAATTTCAATTTTGAAGATGTGTCTTTTTAATAAGAGAGAGTACAAATATCAAATTATATTCTTGCAAGACAGCAAACTAGGAGTACTATGAAATATGTACCGTAAATAAAAAAAAATTTAAAAAAACAACAGAAACTGGTGAAGTTTGTGTTCAAATGTTTAATATATATTAAATCATATTAAAAAAATAAATAAGTGTACACTTTTGAATGTATACCCTTCAAATTTTACTGGAAAAAACATCTTTTTTTTCACTCGAGGTAAACATAATAAATATTTAGCAACAGATAATATCTGTTTGGTGATTTCTTTAATTTTAACTGTGCAGTATGTCTTGTAAGCTTATTTTTATAATGATATGCTGCTCATATTTGGAAAAAGCCTCGCTGTTTTAGTAATTAATCGACTAGGTACATTTATTTTTAGTAAAAACAATCATTGCACTATGTTGATGATTTCAGGTTTTGAGACAACTTCATAATGTTCCGAGACTAGTACAAATGGCAAAAATTAGTCACATAACAAATATTATCAATTCGCACTGAGGGAAATAAAAATGTAAATCTTTAAAGCTCTTCCTTTCCCTACCTTTGATCCACCAATGACAGATGGCGTTTCTACGCCCTTTGATATGGAACTGATACTTTGAAATTGAATTGAATGAACTAGCTAGGGGGATTATGTGGGAAGCACATGTGCCAGATGTACACCAGCTATCAGGTTCTGTTGATTGATAATTAGCTTGAATGTGTTACATTGCAATTTATAATTTCAATTTTGAAGATGTGTCTTTTTAATAAGAGAGAGTACAAATATCAAATTATATTCTTGCAAGACTGCAAACTAGGAATACTATGAAATATGTACCGTACATAAAACATAATTAAAAAAACAACAGAAACTAGTGAAGTGCCAAATGTTTAATATATTTCTAATCATATTAAAAAAATAAAAATTTGTACACTTTTGAATGTATTTTATAAGCTTATATTTATAATGGTAGAACTGCTCATATTTGGAAAAGCCTTGCTGTACTCGGAATTAATCGACTAGGTACATTTATTTTTAGTTAAAATGAATCTTTCCCCTCTGTTGAAGATTCTAGGTTTTAGGACAAGATCACAAGGTTCCAAGGTTAGCACAAAAGAAAAAAATTAGTCAAATACCAAATAATATCAATTTGCACTGAAGGAAATAGAGATATAAACATTTAAAGCTCTTCCTTTCCCTAAATCTGATCCACCAATGACTGATGGTATTCCTACCCCCTTCGATATATAGGTGATACTTTGAAATTGAATTAAATAAACTAGTTAGGGGGACTATGTAGGAAGCACATGTGGCAGATGTACACCAGCTATCCTGAACCTCAGTTGACTGTATGCGAATGGGATCAGATAGCTTCTAGTCAAAAAAATTAATCAGAAGAATCTGTAAATTGTTAAAAATAAAATATATATTGATCATATGACATACAAAAAATATGTATAAATCATTGATACATTCAATCCACTGTACAAATGTCGCAAGATTTAAAGATAGAAATCATAAACATTTTATAGTTTTTGATTATTTTACTTTTGTTATTTTTTTATTTTCTGTATATATGGTACAAATGTGTTCATAAATCTTTATTTAATCATATTAAAAAAATAAATAAGTGTACACTTTTGAATGTATACCCTTCAAATTTAACTGGAATAAACATTTTTTTTTTTCACTAGAGGTAAACATAATAAATATTGAGCAACAGATAATATTTGTTTGTTGATTTTTTTAATTTTAACTGTGCAGTATGTCTTGTAAGCTTATTTTTATAATGATATGCTGCTCATATTTGGAAAAAGCCTCGCTGTTTTAGTAATTAATTGACTAGGTACATTTATTTTTAGTAAAAACAATCATTGCACTATGTTGATGATTTCAGGTTTTGAGTCAACTTCATAATGTTCCGAGACTAGTACAAATGGCAAAAATTAGTCACATAACAAATATTATCAATTCGCACTGAGGGAAATAAAAATGTAAATCTTTAAAGCTCTTCCTTTCCCTACGTTTGATCCACCAATGACAGATGGCGTTTCTACGCCCTTTGATATGGAGCTGATACTTTGAAATTGAATTGAATGAACTAGTTAGGGTGATTATGTGGGAAGCACATGTGCCAGATGTACACCAACTATCAGGTTCAGTTGATTGATAATTAGCTTGAATGTGTTACATTGCAATTTATAATTTCAATTTTGAAGATGTGTCTTTTTAATAAGAGAGAGTACAAATATCAAATTATATTCTTGCAAGACTGCAAACTAGGAATACTATGAAATATGTGCTTACATAAAAAAAAATTAAAAAAAAAACAACAAAAACTAGTGAAATTTGTGTTCAAATGTTTAATATATATTTAATCATATTAAAGAAATAAATAAGTGTACACTTTTGAATGTACACCCTTCAAATTTTACTGGAATAAACATCTTTTTTTTCACTCGAGGTAAACATAATAAATATTTAGCAACAGATAATATCTGTTTGGTGATTTCTTTAATTTTAACTGTGCAGTATGTCTTGTAAGCTTATTTTTATAATGGTAGAACTGCTCATATTTGGAAAAAGCCTTGCTGTTCTAGGAATTAATCAACTAGGTACATTTTTTTTTAGTAAAAACAATCTTTCCACTATGTTGAAGATTTTAGGTTTTATGACAACATCACAATGTTCCAAGACTAGTACAAAAGAAAAAAGTTAGTCAAATACCAAATATTAACAATTTGCACTGAGGGAAATCTAAATTTAAATTTCATAAATAAGAGGTAATATGAAAATAACTCTATGTCTCGAAGAACACCTTTTTTTTTCAAACATAGGGCATCCATCTGCTTAAAATGAGCACAGGCCAAACAAATTCTCTGGGTCCTCTTCCACTGAATATTACATTTTTTTTTTTTTTTTTTATACTTGCACTAACGTATGGATTATTGTATTATGGAAATGAAACGTACTAATACATCATAGCAAGCATCAAATGTTATCATAGAATACAATTAATTTTGGAGACTGTGGTCAGAGATGAAAAAACATTCAAATCATGTTCCTGTAGTAAGATTTTTTTTTCTTTCTTAGGCCTCATTATTTATTTATTTATTCAGCTAATCAATTTAATTTGATAAATCATTAAGGAACAACAAAGTAACTTTCTTACAAAAGTTAATCACTCTCATAGAAAAAAGGAAAACAAATAAAAAAATTGAGGAAATAATAAATAAACACAGTCAGAAGAAGCGTCACATAAGCGTTAAAGGTTTGAAGGTATAGGATCAGGAGAACAGAAGCTCTTAGGCGCTAAGGCTGGCTGACTGAGCTATGATCCTAGCTCAACTTGAATGCAACTTCTCGCCAATTTATACGTTTATAGTCTTATTATTTAGCGCGACTTTTATAGTTAATATTTAAATGTTTCATACATAGTATGGGCATAATATACGCACAAATTTTAAGTTTAATTTAAATATTATTAAAATAAATATATGCTATAAATCATCAACTTTGTCGATGTTTCATTAAATTTACCTAAAATTATGTTTTTCGCACAACAGTTCATACTTATTAAATTACAAAAATCTTCGTAATTGACTATTACTATATATGTATATAAAAAATATTGGTGAAACGTCCCGCCCTTCTGTCCGATGGGTCTTGGAGCCGAGAAAAAAATATTTTATATCATTTCAAGAGAAATTTATCTATTGTTTTTTTCCAGCCATTGATTCGCCCGGGTGGCTACGGGGTGGTTAAGCAAAGGCAGGAAAAAAACAATACATAAATTTCTCTTGAAATGATATAAAATATTTTTTTCTCGACACTTAAGGTAGCCAAAGAATGGTATATCCCTAGAGTCAGCATATTTCTCCTGACTCTGTATAAATACCTCTCCCTTACCCGCCTAGCAAATAGTCAGACATTGTCACTCATAGTAGATAGTTAGATACCATAGTTAGTGTAGTTGTTGTAACATATATATTTTGTTCATTGTATACTTTTTGCCAAATAAACTTTTTTTTTTAAGTCCGAGTGAGTATCGAAGATTTAATTGGCGCCCGAACGTAGGGACCTGTGTTAACTTGAAGAAAGAAGAGTGAAGAAATTACTTTAAAGTAACAGCTCTAAGTGTCAGGTCAAGAAGATTCGAAGAAATAGTCATTGGACAACAGAATCTGGAACTGGCTGCTTCAAGGTGTGTTCAACACTTCAAACAGGTTCAAGAACTTACATTGGATCGGAGGTACTTCGGAAGGACTTAAAAGAATACTTGAGGTACAAATCTGTAATTTTTTTTTTTTTTGTTAAAATTTTTTTTTGTATAACAATTTTAGCTTTGAAATTTATATAATGTTTTTATGCCATTAAAATTAAGACATAGTAAATTAACAGTATATAAACCAAAAATGTCTGATTCAGAATTAGAAATTGAACAAACACAACAACAACATCTTCAACAAGCACAACAACAACAACAAAAACAAATACAACAAGTAACACAACAACCACAAATGATTACTTATAAAATGACTAGTATGGACTATGACCATATTTAAGATTTTTACGGTGACTCTAGGGAAGTTTACGAATTTTTATCTGAGGTTAGGGATGTTTTCCATTATGTTTGCAAAGCTAATAATACTTTAGCACTAGAAAATCACGCAGCTCTTTTAAATAAAGTAAAATCAAAAATTAAGGGTGAAGCGAAAAATCACATCCGAACTCAACATTTCGTGAATTTAGATGAACTATTAATTTTTATTGAAAATAATTATAGGGACCAGAAGACTATATGTCAACTAGACCATGAACTTATGTCTATGCGTCCATTTAAGTACGAAAACCCTATAGAGTTCATTAATAGAGTAGAATCCGCACTATCAGTATTAATTTCGAGAATAAGGATTGATAGTGATATTACATTTCAAGATGGTCATATCAAATACATTAAAGAAAGAATTACACATCATGTAATTAGTTGCTTGCCAATAGAATTGGGAAATTACATGAGAATTTTTGATCCTAAGGACCTTATTAGGTTAAGGATTAAGTTACAAAATGAAGGTTTACCTTTATTACAACAACTTTTTCCTAAAAAAGGTTATAATAATCATAATAAAAATCCTCATAAGCAAGACTATAATAAAAATGATAAGCCACATTATAACCAAAAATCAGATTATAACAGGTATGAAGAAAGAAATTATAATAAATACCAAAATGACAGACCAAGATACGAACAGCAAAAAAAACACTAACAAGACGAAGGTAGATATAGAGAAAATAAGCCACAAGCTTGGCATGAAAAAGACAGTTGGAAACAAAACGACAAAACAAATAATGAAGAATTCCCCTCAAGACCGTTTAAACCAGATTCCCAAAATACGGTTTCTATGAAATCAGTGGATAATGTTAGATGTTTTCAAGAACATTCTACTGAAGACTTACTTGAAAAAAATAAGAAATTAGAAAAAGAGGTAGAAGAAATAAAAATTAAGTTAGATCGTTTTTTAGTACTTGGCGAGGGTTCCCCAAATATAACTTAAATTTATTAAATACTAAAAAGGATACCTACTTTACGGACAAACGCGGCAAGAAATGGCTTATTGACACCGGAGCAGAAATCAATTGTATAAATCCAAATTCTTTACCCGAGGGAATTAAAATACAATCGGAAGAATTCATTATTTCAACACCAGCCGGCAACAAGAGAGGTCATGGAAATGTAACCTTGGATATAGGACCGAAGCTATGGTTGAAAGATGAAATATTTGTTACTTTTAAAATTTATGATTTTTGCGAAGGATATGATTTTCTATTAGGTATGAAGTCTATGAAAAAAATAGGCGTAAACATAGATATTGGGGAAGATATTGAATTAAAAATAGGAGGAAAACTAATTATCAATGGAAAAATAATCGAAGATGATTATAATATAAACTTAATAAAGGATATAAGTGCTATTGATGATATGGTAAGAACAAACCATATTGACGAAAAAAAAAAGGAAAACTTATTAACTTTAATTGGAAAATATCCTAAAATAATTAAAACCAGTGAAGAAAAACTACCTTCTACAAATTTATTAAAATGCAACGTTAATTTAAAAACAGATAAACCTGTTTATTCAAGAAGTTATAGAGTAGCACCTCAACTTAGAGAGGAAATGAATAATCAAATTAAAAAGTTGTTAAATCAAAACATAATAAGGGAAAGCAATTCACCATATAATTCACCGTCAATGTTAGTGCCAAAAAAACTAGATGCTAGCGGCCAGAGGAAATATAGATTGGTGATAGATTATAGAAAATTAAATGACCAAACAATTAAAGATAAATTTCCTCTCCCTAACATTGAAGATTTACTGAATAAATTACAAGGTTCTAAAATATTTTCTACAATCGATTTAGACTCAGGGTTTCACCAGATAGAGATGGCAAACGATTCCATAGAGAAGACTGCATTCTCAACAGAAAACGGACACTATGAGTACGTCAGAATGCCCTTCGGTCTTTG